AAGGAGGCATTCACTGGAGTTTAATATAATGATTGCAGATGTTGTACTTATGGTGAAATACATGGTGAACTAATGTTTAAAACGAAATAGATATATTATTAGTTTCTCTTAAAATGTAATTTCTTTTTGGTACAGACTTTTCACTCGCTTTTTTTAAAATTTAAGTATTCTTAAATCGGCAGTGTAAAATTGGAGCTTTCATAATTTTTAATAGAATATTTGATAGCATTTATCTCTAATTGCCTTTAAATTACATTTTAGAGAAGAAACTTTCATTCTTGATCAAGACAATGTGAAATACAACAACAATGATTTGTATGTGAGAAGGAAAAGAGGATGTTTTTATTTTTTGCAGGTGTTACCTACAGAGGGACGGTTTTGAACCATCCAGCTATTTTGAGAGAGATTTTACTACAGGGAAGTTGCTATGAAAAAAAATTGAAGACACTTTTCTGCTTTACTTGGCAAGGAATAAAAATTAGGCTGCAAGACACTCCAAAAAAACTGTTCTAAGTGCACTTATTCCTCCACAGAGCTAAGGAACAAGCTTTAAACTTATTGAGTGCTGCAGGAAATGCCCTTTGGTGTCTCGGTGGTACCAAGTCCCTGGGGAAGGTGTGGAAGAGAAGGGAATTGTCTGGGTTTGCTCCAGGTGTGAGCTGCAGCTTGGCCAATGTGCTGTGTGGCTGTGCCAGCTGCCCTGGGAGAGGCACTTTGTTATAACACCCAAGTGTGCGTGCTCATAGGTACAGAGTGAGCACAGGCAGAATTCCTGAACTATCCACGCTCCAGGGCTCTTGGTTTCTGGGAAACTGGTGGCCTAAGTCTTGATACTGGTGTAAGAACCTTGTGTAAGAGGCAAGCTTCTCCTGAGCTCCTGATAAATAGAGGCTCAAACACCTTGCAAATGGTGAAGGAAAGAAAAAAAAAAAATCCCTTTCCACCTAAGAACAATGAATGGTACAGAACAAAGACAAAATGAAGGACAGATGTAAGGGTGTGGGTTGTGGGGGAGTGTTATCCTGAGATCCAGGATACTGGAAATGCTGATTGGTGCAGCATCCCTGCCTCGGGCCACGACAACAACTTGGGGCATAATTTTTTGATTAATAAGCTAGGGAAAAGTTCAAATCATCATTGAAAGAATTCTTGATGAAAATAAGGAATAAAATTTATGTATGAGAAAAGTTTAGAGGTTCTTACAAACTAAATAAGGAGGTGGGGGGAAACATTCCTATCACTCAAATTAAAATGTGTCTCCTCACAGAGTGATCTAGTGAAACAGTTGTCATGACTGATTCCTGAAGGCCCACCAGTGCACACCCAGCCAGCAAATGTGCCTTTTAGAATAACACCACTTCCAAGCTCATCAAGGGATCAACACCAAATGAGCAGGGAAGCAAAGCTCCATCCCTTTTGTCTTGGCTTTCCTGGGCTAGTGAAGCACTGACAGAACCGCAGCCTGTGATCTTTGAGTGGGGAGAAGGGAGGAGGCTGGACAGAAAGGCTGACCCATGGCAGGGGAGGCAAACAGAAAGGCTGGCCCATGGCAGAGGAGGCAAACAGAAAGGCTGGCCCATGGTAGGGGAAGCAAACACTGGAGGCAGAGCCAGGAGAGCAGCACTTGCCACACTTGCCCGGGGGAGCCGTGGTGCTGAAGGTTCTGCACAAACAGCCAAAGCCATGCTGCCAGGCACCAGCACCTGCATTTCACCCTCACAGCCTGTGTGACTCTTAAACTGAAGTTCCTGAATTGAAAGTCATTGTTAAAGCATTTTCATCCTGGGACATCCTGCTTTGAGTTACAAAGGTTGAGGGGGTCTGCCTAAATCTTTGGTGCATCTCTCTGTATCTTCATTCATAGCAAACCCACACTGAGCTCAAATCTCAGAAGCTGGCTGAGCTTCCCAAAAATCATTGGTGAATTGATTTTTGTTTGCACTGCAACATGCCTCTAAGAAAACAAACAAACAAACATACAAAAATTTATTTTTATTTTTTTCCAAAATCCCTAAGAAACCCAGAAAGGGCTGCCAATAATATGAAATGTGAAAGATATTAGCTCTTTTCCTCTGTCTCTCTCTCCCTCCCCCTCCCTAGCTCAGATATAGGGAAGATACAAGAGTCTGCAATTCTCTGTCAGGTATCAAAGGGGAGCTCCCCCATCTGAGAACGGGGAGTGCTGAGCATGACTCAGCTGGGAAGGAAACATCCTCTGTGCCATCATCAAATGATGAAAGTTGTGGCTCTGGATTTTTACTAGCCTTTGAATCTGCTGCTTTAAACCCTTTTGAGGGAAAGGCTTCCTATATTTGTGAACCTACAGGCATGTCCTTCTGAGCTGTAAAGGCTGGAGATGACTTTCATGCTGCACAAGGTTTGCGTGACTTAAATTCACTACCATGAATGTCTGGGAAGTGAATGCCTGGGACTAGAAATAAAACTGATGCAAAGAGTCCAGCTAGATAATAACTGTGCAGGGCTTCAAACCTCCAGAGTGTACTTAAAAACCTCTTACAAAGGACCACAATTTTTTTAAATCACTTTCACTTTGTCCCTTGTGCAGCTCTACAATTAAAAAGTAGGTTATTATCCCTCTCAAAAACATATCAGGGGCAGCAGAAGGGATACTTTTATTTAGCAGAGTGAATGGATAGAGCAGGATAAAAGAGAAACCCATGTCAATGCTGCTCTTCATGTCTCAATGAATGTTAATGGAGATTTTGGGGACTTGGCAGTGTTTTGTTCTGAAGGTCAGCATGCAAGCTACTGGGTGACATTTCTGTCTAATTCATTTGGATATTTTACAGATCTGATGTGATACTGAGGCTAGAAGAAGCTGAAATATGTAAAAACAAATGGCATATAATCTAAAGCCCTGCAACAAGCTGCTGTTTCCAAGGTCCACCCAGTTTTGTTATCTCTAGACTGCCTTCCTTGCTCCTAAACCATTTCAATGCCACTGTGAAGACCAAAAGAAAGGTCTGGCTTGCATTGCAATAAGACTTCATCAATCAAAGTTGTGTTTCATTAAACCAACCTGGGGATGACTAGAAATAACTATAGCATTTCACTTTGTAGTGTGAAATTCATTGCAGGTATTTGAAAAAAGTATTCTTGGTAACACATATGAAAGAGATATTACTAAGAAAGCAGATGTAAATGCTACTTCATTCCTTAAGCCTTGGTAGTGAAAAGTCAACAACAGGAGTCATACTTATCAAAAGAGTGAAGCCTCCAAAATTGGCATCAAAGCAGTCTCTGCTCAGTGGGTGCCCAATGTCAATGATTGAGCCTTTGAACATAAAACACAGAGTAAATGGGGCTGTAAACAACTGGCACACAAAGCACAAGAGGCAAAGGCCAGGGTGTCCCTGACCCAGATGGAGATGTACGTGCACAGCAATGTGGCCCATAGCATTCCAGCACAGTTCTATATGTTCCATTGATTAGAATAAAAAGACAAAAAATCGTAAGGCTTGTGATCCTGAGTTTTGAAATGTTTCAGACTAGAAACACTCTTATTTGAAGGGGAACTGTGCTGAAACACTTCCATTTTTGTGATACATCACCCAGTGTTACTTGGACATCATAAAATCGTTTTGTTTTCTCAAAATATTTTTCAGAGATTCAGCTTGCAGTTTCAAGCTGATGTTCAGATATTTTTTCCTCTAGAATGTGGCAGTTATGAAGAAGTAGAGTTTATTCTGTGTTCTGTTGATCACCATAGTAACCTGTGCTCTCTGTATTTAATAGGGAACAAAAAGTTATTTATTTGACAGGGATGGAGTTCTGGGAAGCAATGGTTTATGAACACTGGCAAAATATTTTAATGGGACTATTTGCTTCTCAAGTTGTTAATGTGTACCAGTAATTTGCTCTTTATCTGTCATGCAGATCTCAGAAGACGAAATTGATTGTAGATAAAAAGCGTTCATTAGAGTTGCAGCTATTTTCTACTCTTAGCAGTTTTTAAATAAAGCTGGAGAGTGCCCTGTTCAGTCCAGATTGTTTACTTATATGAAAAGCACAGTAAAGATATCTTGCTTGCTATTAGGCTTCTTTTGTATTCTCAGGAACTAAAGGGATTCCTAAACTGCAAACAAAAGAACAATTGACAGTTATTTATTGAAATCATTCTGTTGCACATCAGTACAGGTCTATTTTTTTCAAGCCCTAAGGGTGAGATTACCCACCAGTTTTTAATTGCTCCTTTATTGGTGCAAATTGATTTATTTTATGAAATTACTTTCAATGTGTTAATTGATCTTTTTGCCTGCTTACTCTTAACAGGGATCAATCCATTGATCTGCCTCATAGAAGTGGCCACACAAATTGCAGAGGTGGCACAGATGTGGCAATAACTGGTATCCAGTGTGGGGCAGAGGAACCTGATGTGGTTTTTTTACCCATCCCCTTGTTATGTGGGACTGGCATCAAATCTGCCTTCTTATTGAAACTTTCCTTGAGCAAATGTTGTCTCAGGGGCAGCTGTAGGAGAGCAGGGTGGCTGCCCATGCAGGTTTTCCTTTGTGAAGAGAGTTTCTGCACTTTCAGTACCCTGTGGAAACACACCATGATAAGACATATTCCCCAAAAGGTTTATAAAGGAATCCATCAGGAAAAGATGTGCTCATTACGCTTCTCATCTCTACCTGCAATGAATGCTTCATTATCAAACATCATTGCTATATAGCTATAAACCACTTAATTTTTCCTACCTCTACAATTTACCTAAACCACAATTACAAACACATATTTTTAGGCAATGTTCAGCCCCTCATATACTTTTATATCCCGCCTATCTTTTCTTAAGCATTTTATCATTCTGCAGTGACCCGTATTTTACAGTCCATACAATTTTAAAACTTGAATTTCACCAGTCCTATAGGGATTGTTTTACCCAGAAGACTGAATTTATTTCTTCTAACTCAGGAAGAACTTTGGTGTTAACTCTGAGATATTAAACATATCCAAAAAAGAAAAGGAAAATACAGCTATTAATTCAGAATTTTAATTTTATTGGAAGCACAGGTCCAGTAATTAATATACTTATTTTATACAGTTAAATATACATTACACCCTGCAGAAGGAGAGGCAATCAATACCAAGCAGCAAGTAGAATGTAAGTATTGATTGTACAAAAACCCCTCTCACACTCATGTTATCAAGGAGATTTTCAAACCTCTATTCTTAGGAACACCATTTGGAGGATTGTGCTATGCATGTGTAAAATGAACTGCTATTATGACTTCATCTGCGTGTGTGTGGCACTGCAGAGAGTTTTGCTGAAGTAATAATTTGGTGGTATCAAGAGGCAGAAAATCGGATCACAGAAGCACAATTTATATGGAATTGCTGAGTAAGTGCACTGTGTTTTTTTCTCTCCTGTAAAGAGATTAAATACCATACCTGGATAATATTTCATAAATACCACACACAGAGTACTTATGAAACAGATAAGGCAAGGATGGTAGTACAAGCAAAAATCAGAGGAAATGTTACCTGTGATGGATGCATTTTTCTACCACAAGGAGCTCACTGGGAATTAAGAGATTTTGCCCCAAAAAACAGTTAAGTAAAATTTTAGGAATGCTTTTTAATTCGAAAGCCTGCAGAATGCAGGAGGATTGGGTATGGTGTGATTGATGGCTTAACTTCAGAGACCAGGTTCAGACTTTTCAGTGGCTTTACAGCAACCTAATACTGCATCAACTCCACTCGAACTGTTCAAAGATGTAGAAGTCTCATTTTCAGATTTATTTAGGGCAAGTCTATATAGGCAGGTGCACAAAGAGACAGGCTTTCACTGGGTTCATTTTGAGATGACAACTAGTTCTGAACAACAATCCAGAACAATCATTCAAGATTACAAATCATTCATGAACAATATAACTTTTCTTAAAGTATTAAGTCTGGATCAGCTTACCAAACAGTTAGGACCAGTCCAAACACTGTAGCCAAGTGCACAAGCACAAGATTCTTGCCTAACTTGAAGCACAGACAAGTAAAACTTCAATTGTCCTTACAGCATTATCTGCAAAACAGGACTAAAAAATCTACCTTTCACAAAGCTGGGATGCATTTAAATAATGTGATATTGGATACATTTGATACAATAAGAAGATCTTGGATGGGAAACTGCATAAATGCAAAGCAATAGATCATTAAAGCCCACTGTTTATGCTCTCACATTCTGATGATCAATGTATGCTTATATCCATTTTCCAGAAAATAAAATAGTTATTCCTGAGGTAATGGTGAGAAGCTTGTAGATAATTCACATGTAGGAACTGTGCATAAATTATGCAGCAAAGAATTCACAGAGATATTTATTTTCCTTTACAAATGTCATCATTGGAAAACTTTGAGTTTGCAGGCCCCAAGTTGGGCAACTCCCTGGGGGCTCCCCTGGCAGGGGAGACCCTCCTGGAGCAGTTCTGTGTCAGGAACGAGAACTCATTAGACTTTTTCGGTCTTCAGCTTCTGTTTATTGTTACCTTATCAAAACTTCAGCACAGTCTGCACCAGACTCTGCATGCAGGAAAAACAGCTCAAAAATGGCTAATGACCTCGTGTTGCAAGGTTTTTAAGTCTAATAAAAAACTAAGCTACCCAATTAAGAAGTGACACCTAAATTATTTTCCTTTCTAACCCAATAACTGACCTCTAAACACCTGCAATGTGTATTTTTTCCACCCAATTACAAGACACCACCTAAACCCAAGAAGAAGAAAGAAGAAGAAAGAAGAAAGGAACTCAAGACAACACCCTGTTGGAGATATCCTCCCCCTTGAACCCATCTATAGCATCCTAAAAGTCCAAAAACCTAAATTTCTCACCCATGTAACATACTACACTAACCTCTACAATTTCTACAATCTATTTCACGCTTTTGTGGTTTCTAGTTTACTTTGAGGCTTTGGAAGTTTTGTCCATGAACAAGGGTCAAAGTCAGTGCTCCCCTGGGGGTCAGGACACCCCAGAGTAGACAGAGAAATATTCCCAGTGCCCTGGGATTCCACAGAGAACCCTGGTGACAATATCACACACAATCCACCTTTTGTTAATTTACACAGAGGCACAGTACACAGGTTACACATACCAAAGAGAAGACTTTAGTTCAAGAAAAGAAATACAACTTTAAAATGGATTTGCTTGCACAAAGGCATAGAAGTTATCAAATAAAGCAGGAAAGCAATATTGCTTTTGATATAGGTACTCCTTAAAATATAGGCTTTGCAGAGCCAATATTGTCTTGATTTAGGTCCTAACCCAACCCCAAAGTCGCAGACTCGGCTCCATCCACTTATTGATTTGTCTGGCATGCTGGGTTGGGGTTTTTTTGTTTCTTTTTTTCCAGAAATGCTTTTCTGCTCTCAAATTTTAGCTAGCTCTCCCAGAAGAATGTCTAATACAGTCACAAAGAGCAATTCTGTTCCTCACAACTAAGCTATTGACTATCGTAATAAAAAGGAAGGACAGAAGTCATGTCAGCTTAGCTTCTCACAGGATCTCACAGTGCTCCTTCATTCAAAAACAATTATGTAATCAACAAGCAATGGGCAACGAATTGCAAAATATCAGGAGCCCTTAATTTTCTATCAGGTATGATAAAAACCTTATAAAGTTAGGCAATTCTTGATTCTTGAGAAATAAAACACCATATAACTACCACCAATGTATCAGTTATTTGATATTTTGCTACAATACCTCTTCTATTTTTTTTTTTTCTCTCCTGCTACCTGACATCTAAATGCCTGTAATTTTACACCACTTGTCAGAAAAAAAAGATCCACAGAAAGAGAGCTGCAAGATGTTATTTTTACCATTTGTAGACAGTAGTTTACCTAATGTGCATCTTCAACACCTTTGTCTTTATATGGGGAGGAAGTGGTTTACATGAAGGAGCACAAAGAGACAGTACAGCTCTATTAACAAGCCTTAACAATTTTGGTTTTATTAAATTTCTACAGTAAAATTGAAAACCTTTAGGGGAGTAAAGGTAGGGGCAAAAAAGCCCTGATGATGCATTATCAAGGAAACCAATAGAGGAAATAAAGCCATGCTCAGAAGAGATTAAACAAGTCATTAAGTTTTTCATAAAAGGATGCAGGAAATAGGAGATATAAGTGATTGATTGAGGTGCAAATGTATGTGTGAGCAGGAGGAAAGCAAAGGGTAAATTTGTCTGGGGAGTAAATCCATTTAGGTCATTATAGTTTAATATGGCCATGATCCAGCAAAACACTTGAGCATATGCTTGGTTTTAACATGACTCACTCCCAAAAGCTGAGCTCTGCTGACTTGTTCAGACTCAGGTTTGAGTGCAATTTCATCAGGATCCTCTCTTGAATTGTATCACCCCACTTGAAAGCCTGTAAGACAACAAAATGAAAGATGGAATGGCTTTGGATGGGTTATCTACCTGAAGAATCCACTCTGGACACAGTAAACTGCACACTTTGCTTTCCAAAATGGAATGAGCTCAGAAATGGAAGCCTATTTTTGCAAACACACGGGCTGAAAAAGAGGAATGTCAATGGCAGCCAGAGGGGATGGGACATCAGGATGCTGCAAGCTTTTATTTAATGGAAAACCGTGCTGAAATTTTGAGACATGGCACATGATAACCTGATGTAACTGGGCCAACATTACCATGCCTTTAATACTTATTTGTGTGGTTCCATCAGTGGTGCCTGTGCTTGCAGGCTGCAGGGTCCCAGTGGAAAAGGACCAGCTCAGGACCACCAGCTGTGCCACAGGAGTGCCTGAGGACAGGGCAGAGCAGCTCCCCCTCTCCAAAGCGCCTCTCGGAAGACACTTTGTGTTGCAGTCATTAACTGCTGATACCAAGAAATGAATTCTTTGATTGTTCTTTCTACCCCAAGTTTTGGTGATAATTCTGGCCAGGGCAGAGGAATGATTTTGGAAGCAGTCTGACTAAATCTGTTATCCTAATTAATTTGAGCTGATTATCTTGTGACAAGACCACAAGTTTAAATTTTTAACCCATCTTCTCATCCGTAGGAGTCCATTCTTTTTCCTCTCTAAGCTCCAATCTTACATTTTCTAGGGCAGAAAGAAATACCATCCTGGATTTTCAGAAATGAACAAAGTAGATAAGATTAGATACACAATACAAGTTAGCACCACCGGTTCCGTATTTATTTTTCTTAACTCTTTTTCCTGTGAAATGGGAATAGAAGGATCACAGCTTTCATTAAACAATAAAGGTAATTTCTAGTTCTCAAGGTTTCACAGAAAAGCATTAGAACATAATTCTTTCAATGTCACCACAAATATCACTTTGACTTCTTGAATTTTCTTGCTTTTGAGCAGTGTCTCTGAGGATGCAACAATTCACTTACATAAGCAATTTGCAGAATATAGGGACCTGTTCATCTAATATGCCACATAGTTCTTTTTACTCTAGGAAGCTGTGCTGAAACACAAGAGCAAACATATACATAGAAATAAAACCAGTAAGTTCACAGGGTATTTTTTTCAATTGCTGAATTTTATTAATAAGATACTAGGTAAAAGGTTTCTTTGAAACAATTCAGAAGTTGAAATTAAAAATGGTGTGTAATTTTCAGCATTTTATGTTTCATTTATTGTCAGACTCACAGTCAGAAAGATGAGGTGGGTGATAATTATTCAGGGTTGCCAATTAACCTACTTAGCAGGTCACACAGGTAACTGGCATAGATTGTGTCAAATCTCATTACTGGGATAAAAATTTAATCACTCAGTGCATTGACTGAAGGCCAGAGAATCTGGAGAATAAATTAATCAGGAAAATAAAATTGGTATCTAGACAGACATTATATTTAAATACATGAAGACAGTAAAATTATAAAGCATACTACTCACCAGTAGAAACCCAGTAAAGTCTGGAATGGGGGCTGGGGGTATTGAGAGAGGGGATTTTCAACCCCAACTTCCAGTCTGAGTAGAAGGAAGGGTTATATTTCACCTTGCTACTATGAATGAAAGAGAGTTTAATCCATGAGGAGGGTGTGAGCACGTGTGTTATTCTTTAGCATTTAAATAGATATGCGGTGCAATTCTCTTAGCTGCAGTGTTAGAGCCCAGACCTGTCCCCTTGCTCTGGGTAGGAATCCTGGCCTCTCCCTTCCTCTACATCCCAGCCTTCAGCTCTTTGTGCCTGGATTCAGAGCAATGGCAAAGGAATGTCAAGTAAGAAGGTCACATAATGGATAAAATAATCTTGCAGGATCTGTCAAGAAGGACAGGGGTGATGAAAAAATTACAATAAATGTAATTGTCAAAGTAATGGAGTCTGTGAAAAAGCTTCTTCTGTACAATAATGCTCTGCATTTTCAAGGTGACTGAGTATATAAGAGGTAGGAATAGAAGAGTCTGCCTGGAAGTGGAAAAACATTTTCTGTGCAGAAGGAGAAAAAAACACTGGAAGGAACAATAACATCTTTCAAAGTGGTTTTTATACATGTAGGTTACATATGAGTTTGAAGGTTGTATCTGCTTCAAAGAGAGTATGAACTTTTCTAGAAATTATCATAGTTTTATAATTCAAAACATAGACTGGAGGAAAAAAAAACCACAAAACACTGTTAATGCCAAGACTTAGCTAGTCCTGAATGTGTGAGGCGTCCCACAGCAGAGAAAAAAGTACATGTAACTCCAGGAAAGATGAGAATATGGTGAACTTACCTTTGTCTTCATGGTCTATTTCAATGGTACTGTCTGCAAGAACAAGAGGGCTATAAAAGAAACCATCACCCCTCTAACCATGGATCATTCAGCTTAAACATATCTCATAGATGTTATAGCCAAGAGTTACAGCACACCAAGCACTGCTCCAGGATTTGTAATTTATTCACTCAGTAGGGAAAAAAGTGACTTCCATAGCAGCATTTTATAGGCCTGTAAAATAAAACACAACCAGCATGAAAAAATAGCCAGTGGGCCAGGAATGAATGTTGGTTTGGCCAGGAATAAAAATTTGGTTTGGTTTGTTTTTTATAACAATGAGCAAAACCACACGCTTAAGTTAGTGGATGTGACCAAGTGATCTGGTCACATCCACTAACTTAATTTATGCTTCCACTAATACATTTATCCTGTCAAATATGTTATTTTGAACCATAAATTTTCTTGTTGCTGAAAGAGTATGCGCTATAGCAGAAAGGCTGAGCATATCTATTCCAGTTCTGGAATTACAGAAACAACATGCAGCTCTTAAATGTCATTTTACTTGTTCCCACACAATGTAAATGCTATAGTCAATAGCTACTTAGACCTTCTTTTTTGTTTTTTGGAAAGATTAAAGCAGGGCGGCACCATTTGTGGATGCTACCCACTAGTTCAGGCGTGCCTGATAACAGAAGCTGCACACTTTCACCTAACTAGTAGAAAATTTAACACTGATGAGCAAAACTTTCTCATTAAATTTTTCTTGATAAAAAAAAGCAACAAGCTTAAAGATAATAAATTTATTTAATTTATTTATTTAAACATAAAGCAAGAGCTCAAAACTCTTTTGGGCAGATCTGGACTGGTTAAATGTTACTCTACACCTCCTCCCAGCAGTGTGCAGGCTTGAATATTCCTGCTCAGTGCTACCCTCCTTCATTCCCCTCCTTACTCAGAATAACCTCAACTTTCATTCACCTGTAGAGGTGACACTAATTCCTGGATGCCTGCAGAAACTGAACCATAAACCCCCAGGACACTTTGGGGCAAGGAATGCTTCTTCTCCCTCTGGTGAAAATGACAACTGCTCACAGCTCTAGATTCCACTGCAAGAAAAAAAGGCAGGCTTTAATCAGAAAAGGGGCAGAGAAGGGAAGAAGTCAGGTTCTGAGCCTCCCCAGTGTTAGAGCAACACCTCCCCAAGGCAGACAATGCAATGGTTACCCCAGCCCACCCCAAACAGAACTACACGTGCTGTGGGGCAGCCACTTTGCCCTGCTCCCCCTGCCAGCTCCCAGCCTCACCCCCTCCTTAGGGAGTGCTTCTCATGGGGTACATCACCTGCAGCCTCAGGGGACCCTTTGCAGAGCACCCACCCAAAATGCCACGGCTGGGAGAGCAGGGCACACTGCTTTTTTCTCCCCTTCTCATGATTGCCTGTTTCTCTGGACAGCAAAAATGGGTTTAAATCACTGCAAGCTGTGAAGAGCCTGGACCACTCTATCCCACTCACTAGGCAAACATTTTATCACAGGTTGTATTTTCTACAAATAGATAACATATATTACACCCAACACAGAGCACAGCAATCCCTCTTCAAGCCCTGGTGAGAAGAGCAGTGCTGGAACCTTGGTCTAGGACACAAATTAGTCCCATCTAACTTTCCATGCTGAAGGTGTCACTGGCTGCCTGCATCTGTGCTGGGCAGCCCTGGCTCAGGAAGTGACAGTCTTTGGTTCAGGGCTGCAGAACATGGCTGGTTTTTGTTTGCCTCTGTGGCTTTCCCACTGCTTACAGAAGAAAGCCTTTATCCCTCAGTAAATGCAGAGCTGAACTAATACATTGTCAAGAATTCATTGCAAAAGCACAGTTTACTTCTCAAGATAACACTAAAGATTTCCAAGTGTAAGAGCCTGTAACAAAATGTAAAACATTTTAAATGTAATGCAGTGAATAACTATGGATTTTCCATAATAATCATTATTTAGTTAATGTATTAATAGAATAAAAGCAATATTGAAGCAAATAAATGACCTCTGACACCAAGAATGGATTGCATTTCATATTACTTTACTTAACTGCCCCCTCCTTCCCCCACCAAACAGAAGCTTTATTGACAAAATGTGCTCTGGTGATTTAGTCTGTAGACTTAAAGAATGTGCAACTCTGGGAAAAACTGAATTATGGATTCTATTTGTTAGATGAGGAATGGCATGTAATAACTTAATGAGCTAGAAGCTTATTAGTTGTAAAAGAGAGACGGCGTTGTCTATCAATCTCTTATTTTTTTTAACTCAGAAATGTTCAGGTGGGTAAGCATCAAATCCATTTCACATTTATTATCTTATGAATAGCAGTATGTGCTAGAATCTCAACAAGCTACAAAAATATATCTCAGCTTCTAGTTTAATGTGCATTTTATTAGTCAGTTTTGGAGGCTCTATTTGAAACCCAAGTCATTAGAATACATGTGCACATATTTGGCCAGCAAAAAATTCACTCCCGCACAAGAGCTACTCTGATTTCATCAAAACTGTGGAGTGAAAGAAATTCAAACACAGTAACAGTGACACTGACAGTAACAACTGTGTTTCAATAACTATTTATTGCTCTATGGAGACATGAATGCAAAAGGACAGTAAGATAAAAATTTTAACAAGAAACTTGTAGAGAAACTAGCCTAATATAAAATGAAAGAATCGAATCCTTGGTTGTTAAAGTTTTCTCCACTGTGAAAAGTACACAAATTTACCTCACCTACACTTTTCTGTGGACCTATTTATTCTGCACAATGCAGTGACATTTGAATCGTGATATGCATGTGTGAATATGCATAAAAATTACAACAATAAGGTAGTTTAAAATCCATCAGATGCTTCTCCCTGTCTTAGCTGATATTATGTCTTAAAAATGCACTGTAACAAATAGGAGTTAACCCTAAATAAATTCATAAAACACATGTGTAAGTAAAAAAAATGGCAGAAAGAAGGAAATTCAAAGTTCAAGCCAATGCGTACAGAGGTATATGTAGAACAAAGCAGTCAGGTTCTCATCTATCAGCCCAAATATTTCATGTGCTGCACAGATCCCTGGGTAATTGCAATTTAACCCTGCACAAGATCGATCTGCTTGCTTTGATTTTCTTTTCCTGAAATAAAAATAAGCAAGGAAAGAAAATCTGCATTAATTTATGCCTCTAGTAGGCTCCTGTGGGTGCCTTTTTTGGTTTATTGGTTCATTGGGGTTTTTTTTCCTGTGGCCAGTCTAGCAGCAGATGTCTTACATACATCAGACTGTTTAGCAGAGCAGTCATAGCCATTTCACTTAATCAGGTAATAGCACACTATTGACATATTAGACCAATTTAATACATTTATTTTCTGTATCCATTTACATTTCATCTCAAAGGTCTCCACTACAATGGGATTTTGAACTATTTGTTCTGAGCACAATCGAAGGGCCAGTAATCCAATAATTTGATTTTCTTGCTGCAGAGACCAGGAGAGAGGGAAAACCATCTTTCTGTTGCCCAGCAAGTGAGCTGCAGGCCTGCATTAGGCTTTCAGCTTCCTGTGTAAAACATACCCCAAGGGCAGCAGAAGGCCACTTAAACAGAGCTTGGAGGGCATCACTGGAACATGGCTGTGGCACCTTGGCTTTCTGCCCAGGAGTAAATTCCAACCATTAGCATCAAACACTCATCCTGAAGCTCTCAAACGGAAATTAAATGCCATCTATCAAATGAATAAACAATAATAAGGTAGCACAAGTAAATTAAAAAAATAAATTGCAGTCATTTATACTGTGGATCATCTGTTCTGGGTTGCTGTTCCAGACTGTTCGCCTCAGATTATCTTTCAGCCTATTTTTTCACTATTGGATTTTTGTACATGTAAAACAGCCCTTGATATACAAATTGAATTTATTCATGCTCTATGCTACTTGTACTTAAAAATAGTTTTAAATAATGCTTGTTTTTCCTATGCAAATAATTTTGTTTACTTCTAGTCATAGGTTGAGTCTACATGAGTTGCATCTAAACAAGAATACAAACAACAACAATTAAACATGCAAGAATGTAGCTTTAGATATCTCAGCTGGAACTGCTCATTCTGGTTTAAGCAGTCCAGGAAAATTTCAGCAGGCTTCAGAATTTGGAAAGCTGTGAATTTAGAGTGAATTCACCCTTTAAAGATGCTCAAAGGAAGAGCAACCAGTAGTTTGGGACAGATTTTAAAGGGAAATTTTTAATAAGTAGAATTTAATTACCTAACTGAAATTTTTGCTGTAGTGCCCTGGCTAAGACTTCACTTTTTGTGAAAAACAAGAAAAAAACCAAAAACCTACTCTGGGAAATGATTATGCTTTATCTGTATCACAGCTATTACAGCAATAAATTCAGCCATGTGCTGAGATGGGACAGTATTGCAAAGGAGAGCAAAGGGAAATATCTCACTGAATATTAGTCTCATTTCCCAAAACAAGTTGACTCTTCCCAGGAACTTCTTTCCCAAAATTTCCTTAGGGTATGAAATAATTGGCTATTAACCAGTGTATTCTTGACCCAAAGATTGGAGCAGAAAACAGGCAAGTCTTGTCTGGATTACTAGAAGAAAGAAAAGAGAAATGAGAGTAGATATGCACAGCCTGAGCCCGTGGCTCTCTTCATTTTGCTCATCGGGACTGGAGGCTTTTACCTGCATTTACAGCATGGCAAAAGTCCCGAGGAAAAGAGCAGGCAGAAAAGAGGGGAAGGGAAACGAGAAAAGCACAACCTTCTCCCTTTTCAGATTTATTTTCCCCTGCATTTAGTGTGGGGCTGTGAAAAAGGAAGTCTGCCAGCTCCATAGCATCATATTGCCAGCATAAAGGGCATCCTGTCTCAACCCGAGGCAGCAGAGAACTTGTGAAAAAGTGCCTGGACACTAAGAGAAACAACCAGCAAAATCTTACTTGTCATAAATCCTGTGCAGTCTTCTGAACAAGTGATAGTTTCCCTTTTCCTCCTTGTACATCGGATCACCTGTAATCCACCAAGACCTCTGACATGCCCTGGGTGCCGCCCCAGCACCCCGGGCACCCCATGGAGGAGTGGTTGAGGATGCAGCATTGGGGACTGTTCCCATGGCCTGGAAGGATGAAAACAATCATTAATATGCACCAGGCAGAGCCAGGGGCTGAGCCTGCTGCTAATGAGAGCTGCACTGAGGCCTCAGGTCATGGTTTTGCTAAATCCTCTGCTCTTGGTACACCTGAAAACACCACACCAACAGGCAGCAGGGCTCACACACCTGCCTGAGTGCAGGACAGCATAACCAAAGTGCTGGGGTAGGTGTCTGAGCCACTGAGAAAGTGTCTGTCCCTAAATTCAACCAAGAAGTCCCTCTGGGGCTGGTTGGCCTCTGTTGCAGCTGCCCAGCTGCTGGACAGATGTGTCTGGGCAGGGTGCAAAGCCTGGAGCTGGTTCATCATGGTTCACAATGATCTGCAGTGCGTGCCTGTGCACTACAGGGGACAAAGAGGAGGCCACAGAAGTTCTGGGATGGGCTGTGATCTCTCTGGCACCACAGCAGTGTGGTTCAAGAGGCTGTAAGAAAGGGAGAGGAGTGGTCAGCTGCCATGGAGTGCTGCCATGGATGGATCTTCAGGAAGTGCAGTGTGGCAAGCACATTTCTCTCACTCTCAGGATTTTTCATAGAGGTGCACAAAGAGAAATGAAAGAGAAAACAATTTCTATTTCTGTTCCTTGTTTTTCCTATGTGGAATGTGTTTGGAGAATTGTTTACCTGGAGTGATTGCTTGATTGGATTCTGGTGAGGATTGTTTGAGCCTGATGGCCAGTCCAATCTACCTGGGGCTGGGCTCTGGTGAGAGGGCCAGAAATATGGGAAGAAATAACAATGTCTGACTCAATTCAGAAGGCTGAATTATTTCTTTATTATAAGTATGCTAAAATACACCAATATACTATATAAAAGTAGGATACTAAAACTACATACTACTTTCTCTGACTCTAACACAACTCGTGACCCTCTCTCGAGAGTCCAGCCCCAGGTGGGTTGGATTGGCCATCAGGCTCAAACAATCCTCACCAGAATCCAATCAAGCACTCACTCCAGGTAAACAATTCTCCAAACACATTCCACATAGGAAAAACAAGGAGCAGAAATAGAAATTGTTTTCTCTTTCATTTCTCTCTGTGCACCTCTATGAAAAATCCTGAGAGGGAGAGACATGTGCTTGTCACAGCAGAACACACACACACACCACAATGTGCTCCTGGTCGGCCCTAGCTTGGCTCCAGCTACCTCAAACAGTGGCTCTCATCCTCTGCAGAACCGTTCTTCTGCCCTTCAGAGGATGGTGAGCACTACCTGTACAGACCTCATCGGCAGTCTCCATGTTTCCTTGCTGTCTTACACCCCACGAGAATGTTTTCCGCAACAGAAAGTTTTAGTCCCCTCTAGCCTTAGTCTGCTGATCACTGTTTGATGCCCTGAAAGTGTAACACATGCAAACAGGGTGTATTGGCTGCAAATTTAGAGAAAACTTTTCTTTTCCTATGGGCAAAAGGGAGGTTGTTGTTGTGGGAAGTGTGTGTACATATACACCTGTTTTAAAGAAAGTTCCCCTATGATTCCAGGTCAGATTTCACTCTATTTCAAAAGCCTTCACCTGCCATATATCCCAAAGTGTCTGAATAGCAAGAAAGGGGTTTGGAAAAACTTGGCTGACTACTGGAAAACAAGGAATAGTATCCCAAACACTGTGCTTCCCCATTCCTACACGTGTATGGCAGGAGTACCTCTGATTTTGTTGCAGTCAGAATTCCCTGTATCACAGAATATGGCCTGCAGAACCAGTTTTGTCCCAGTTTATAAACAGTTTTACAATATCTTATGATGGTGGAAAGATTCCACAGCAATCAGAAAGTTCTCTGGTGTGTTCTAGGGATGTGGGATCATTTCTAGAGAATTTGAGGGAGTAACTTTAATATATTGGGAAGAGCTTATAACTTCAAACACAAATTAGGACACTTAATTTTCTTTAAACCCCGTGTCCAACTGTTCAGATCCATGAGTGTCTCAGGATCAACACTCCTACACACACCTACAAAATACCAGTGCTCTGCTTATTCTGTATTTCAGTAACTTAAATACATGACAAATTCTCTCATGCTGCAAATTTATCTTCATTGAGCTATCTTTTGATCTTGGGCATTAACTCTGATCAGCACTAAGGCAGAGACAGTCTATCCAATTAGCAGGTGATGCCTCAGAAACTCAGGACGCAGCACCTCTGCTACACTGCCTTCCAGGAGATTTGACCTCAAAAACCACGTTAGATGAACCCAGCCACAGTATTTGTCTGCCTGCCTCAGCTGGCCTGCTCAGATGGCATTTTGCCAGTTAGCAAGGTAAAATACTGCTTTTGGGAGGTGCCAGAAAAGGATGGCTTTAGGTCCATTATTTGCTAAGGTCTGTTAATCCAGCTTTCTTCTGACTCTAAGCAATCACATAAAACATCTTGACTTTCTTAGCATAAAAGCAACTCCTTATCAGACACTCCCTTGTATGGAATCCAAATAACAAATAACTAACTTGTTTTCCAACATCTGCAAAAACAAATTATCTTTCAGAGGAGATTGGGCTTGTGCTCTTGTGTTCTGCTGCCAATGTCATCAAGGAAACTTTCACTGGATAGTTACACTTGGAGCAATGACCACCCTATTCTGTGCTTTCCCCTGCTCAGAGCAAGGGGCTTCTGAGCCATTGTCAAGGTTCCTGAGCACAGATACCAAATGCAGTTCTGCACTGAATGTCAGATAAACCCAGCAGTTTGTTTTGTTGGTAATTTCAAAGCCACAGGGGGAATTCATTAATTTTAATCCATTAAAATTCACTAGTTAAATGTGCACAATCATACCTCAGTGCTTTGCACTTCCAGTTAATCTGCTTGTGCCTGTTTGTGACAACTGATTCCTGCTTGCTTTGACACTGCAGCACCCCAAAGCTATGAGAGCAGGATTTGAGGATGTTCTGCAAGCTGGCTGAAATCAGAGACTCTCCAGATGTTCTTGGATGCCTGAAGCAGCATCAAATGAGGCTGTATTGAAGGGCTCTACGTGACAGCAGGTATGAAATGCCTCAGTGTATTTCATAAGAGTGAAACTCAGCTAGGATGGACAAGTAAAACTCCAAGATCTAGTAATGGTCCCAATAATTTCTGCAGCTAAGCTTGATTGACATGAAGCATGGCTTCATTCATTCAGCACCTCCAGTGGGTCATTAGTGCTGAACCTGATGGGCAGTCATGTAAATAGAGCACTGAAACACTGAGAAAAACACAAAAACCTGTGTTCTTACAGTAGCTTCTCCTTACCTGCCCTTGCCCTGTTGGGAATCACCACACTGTGTCTTTGAGGGTCAGTAAAAGGAGAGTTTGTGGGTATCAGACATGACTGAAGAGTGGGATCTCCAAACCACACTCTAAAAATGGAGTTTACCCCACTTTTCTTCAGCATTCCCACAGCAGTCCCTCCTCTGTGCCTCTTCCAGTCTGACTACTATTTTTACTACTATTTTTTGGTGCGACATGATTGATCAGAAGTCTACCTTGTCAGTCTCTGTTCATTCTTGCTCTTTTCAAGCATTTTACATCCAGTATGGCAGATATAAAACCAAGAGCCAGAGCTAAGATGAGAAAAAAGAGATCATAAGAACAGAAGAGAAGAATCAAAAAGAAAATCCTGCAGTCCATGGAGAGCATTGCCATTTTGTGACTGAAGTGTGTTGTACAGCAACAGGAAAAAAGTCACAGAAAACGTCTTTAATCTAACAAGGAGCAAGGAATGCCATTAGAATGAGAAAAGCCATGTTATTATGCTGACATTACAGGGCCTTTCTTGAATTTGCTCAAAACCTCTGCTGCCTGGATTATTGCTAAGGGTTAAGAGAACTGAATTGTACTGAAAATAACTTAGAACTTGGTTATTTTCTGAAGAGATGTGGGAGAAAGGGGTGGAAGTGAACGCAACACAAGGAAACCTGGAATGGGGAGGAGGACTACAAATACAAATTTACTCCCCTGCAAAATCAATTCATCTAAAATTGAGTAAAAGAACAAGATGATATCTCCCTCCTCCCTCCTACAACACATTCCATTCTTCATGTATATTGACATTGAAGGGTAAGCATGATAAATAGCTCTATTTTCAGTAACAAAAAGAGGAGAGTTATGAGACTGGCTCCTGCCAACAGTTTTCTCCTGCCTCAAGCCTTGCATGGTCTCCTACAAGGAGGCTTTCTCTGCTGTCAGTGTTAGGCAGGCTTTGGGAACCCTCTTTAGGGGCATAGAGGGGATTATTTTGCTGGCTCACAGGCAGGTCATTTAACTATTGTCATCATATCAATACAGAAATGTTTTCATGCAGCCAAAAGCCAAAGGAGAATATTTACCTTTCTGAATCAACAGTAGGGTTCACAGCAGATTCATTATGGGAACCTGAAAATAAAATTTTTGAAAAAATGGTTTCTGAAACTGTCACCCTCACCAAAGAATTTTTGAATGGTTATGCCCTAAACTATTTGTCCCTTTATTTTCCAAACACAGTGTAGCCAACTGAAAATCAAATTCACATTTAGTGCTTAAACAGTGAATAATGTTAGCAGTCAGTTAAACAAAAATACAACTCACATTAATATATAGTAATATCTGATAAAATATTTTAACACAATGTCAAGCCCTATGCTCATATTTGTTTAAAATGAGAATTAGAATCTGTCAATCAAAATGGCTTTTAATAAACTCAAAAGTACATAAAAAGATTTCCTATAAAGGGAAAAAGTGTATCTGAATATACCAACAAAGATGAAGGTAATTATAAAGTTTCCTAAAAATAGGAGAAAAAAAATAGAGAAAACAAATCCAGTTAATTCTATTCAGGACCTAATTAACCTTAAAAACAAAGTCTCCAGCCTTTCCCATGGATTTCAATGCAAGGGAGAATGTTCCAGGGAGAATGCTACCAACTATAGGTCTGATTTAATGGAGTTTTGATTGAGGATAAAGGCAGAAGAGTCAGTCTGTGGTACCCTCTTTTTGCAGTGAAAAGTGTCCAATTCCAAAGGCAAATCACTGAGCTCAGCCATCCCAATTAAAGCTGCTATTCAGCATAAGCTAAGATAGCACAACGAATGCAAAAGAATCAGCCATTACAGTACATTTACAAAGGCAGCACAGGAATTTGTGTTGGTTAGGGGACAGCAAAGCACAGCACCTGTTATTTAAACAAACAGATGTACATACTTACATGTATATATTTGCACATACAGAGCTCACACACATACATATATCACAAAACATAATTGTATTAAAATGAGTAAAACCACTTTGCTCTCTCTAGGGCATTCCCTTGAATCTTTGTATGAACAGAAATGGAACTCCAGCTGAAGCTTCAATATCTTGATGTTGAAACAGTGTCTTCCTGCTGCAAGTAAAAAGTGTTAAAAACAAATATTTAAAGACCAATTTTTCTTCACAAGCATCTACAACAACTCATCAGGTATGCAGAGCACACATACACCCTGATCTTATGCTGTTGTCAGCCTGCCAAAACCCCTCATGGCTCTGGAGGAATTTCTGTGCTGGGATCAGGATCCCGGCGGGTCATTCCCTGCAGTGGTGCCTGGCACACATCTCCCACTGCCATCTCTGGAGGTTCTGCCTCAGTGCTCGTGGCACTCTGCTACATTCACGTTAAATCACCTGAAAGGCTCAAGCTTCCTCAGTTCCCAAATGCCTACCCAGTTACGGTGTTTTTATCAGAGAGGATGCGAGTGACAGAGAGAATTCCCTGCCCAAGGTTATCTCCGAGTTCATGGCGTGTGTCCTTCTGCTGCCACATCCAATCGATCATTGGCACTGCTCCAGGCAGCCTTCCCTGGGACTGCTCCTGTGGGGCCAGCAGGGATTTCTGCTGCAATAGGGAGGGCAAGCTGGGCTGGCACCGCAGCTCCATGTGGACATGGTCAGCCTTCAAATGATCTTCCAATTTCAGCTTTCCAGGGCTACTGTTGTTTCCAAGAACTAGAGAGACACAGCTCTTGCTCAGCAAGAACAAAGCTCACCCAGAGCAGTGGGAATCCCCCAAAGTCCTCTATGCTGGTTTGAAAAGTCCCCAAAAAGTCCAGGGATGCTCTGCTCCTCTCAGTTTCCCTGGGGAGTGCCAGTGCTGGTGCTGGGCTCACTGAAGGAGCCACTCTGGGGGGTTTGGACTACTGAGCTCACGCAGAAGGAGCTTCAGCCACTTCTGTGACCGATGTGGATCAAAATTACAGGGGAGGCTGCAGTGCAATGTGAGGGTCATTTCTGCCTCCTCTTATCTGATAGGAAATTCATTCCCAAAAGCCAGCACAAGACATTCATAAAGTCCTTCTTAAGCTTTTGAAGATCCACCTCAATTTCCTCTACAACAGCTGGTGTGGTTTTACAATAAATGAGAATAAACTGGTACACAGCCCATGCTCTTACAATTGTCACAGTGATGGACTTTGAGCTCTTTTCAACATTTGTGAAGCCAGATGACCCAGGCTAGCAGCAAGAGGATGCCACTATGAAGCATAATTATTTTATAGCCCCTATTTAATTTTTGGAATATCAAAATTTATGACAATCACTAAAGCAGATTGATTAAACCCTGAGTGTAAACACGCCATGAAACAGAAGTTGTTTTGCTGTCATTCCAAGGAAGCGTCTATTTGCAAAGTACATGGCAATATCAAAGAGTTCTCTATTGATTAAACTTTGAAAATAAAATTGCACCACTTACTGTATGCTGTTTGCAAAAATGCCAATCATTGTAATACTCACATAAGCATACTGCATCTTCCCCCTGAACTCGTTAAATTTATTACTGAGACTCTATCCTGAGCTGCCTACATGTGGAGAAAATATCATTCAGATAACGCATTAACATTTATAACCAGTATTTAAAGCAGTGCATGGTGCCATCTCAAATGATAAGGGTCTTGTCAGCATTTCCAGTATAAGCCTCATTTCAGGGAATGGAAGAAGGGAGGGAGTGGCAACACTGCATTTCAGCAATTTTAAATGACACCAACAAGAAGGCTGACATACAAGTTGTCAATCTAATTGTACCTATCATCTTTCAGAGATAGGTGCATCTTTTATGTCCACATTCAGTTTAAAAAATAGCAAAATTCTCACTGCATCATTGTAAGCTACCTGGCAAGTGCTGTCATTCTGCTTATGCATACAGCATCCCACACAATTATAATTCTAGATCTAAGCCTTCATATTACAAAAGATCTAAAGGTATAGAACAAAAATGATATGACCCCCACCTCACAGTTATACTTGCACTCTAGAGGAGAAAGAAAGAGATAAGCAAAACAGCCAAGAATACAACAATGAAGGCTGGTTCATGACTCATGTTATCAGATGTTCCTGTGGTATCAAAATACTAATGCTGAATACAAATTTTAATAGCAGAAAGGATAAAAAATAATAACTCGAATTTTTGGGGTGAAAAACTCGTAGGTGCACTGCATCTGCCATTAGCCCAATTCTGCTACAGGTACTGTGTAAGCTGTGATTTGCTGAAAGACACCTGTTAGCTGTTGATGTTTAAGTATTCTGTCAAAAGAAAAGATATTTAAGATATTAGTATTACTACAAAAAAAATGTCAAAAAGACAAAGATAGTGGTCATAAGGCAAGAGAGACTTCTGAAAGACACATCTCAACAAAGGAAGGTATTGAAGTGCTTATACCTGAGATGATCTGGATCACTGGACAGGTCATAAGTAAATACACAAAAAGGAGGGACCTCCGCTCAGAATTCTAAGTGCATCAGTAACACCAGCTAGAAACAATAAAGCCAAACACTTCTGTGTGGAAAAGCAACAATATTTCTAATCAGAAAGCTCAAATGCTAACCAGTGTAGTGGTTGTAAAGCAAAAACACTCTGAGCAAATATGTGTGCAAATGGAATTTCTAGATTCCAAGGCACAGTCGATTACCAAGGCTAACTGAGCTATCTTGTTCTCCTCCCAGCTTTACGTCCTGCTCAGGCATACACTGGACATAAAAGTCTCCTGCTGTGCAAAGGATTTTATTGCTTTACAGGAAAAAGACTAATAGATGATAAAAAAAGAGGCCATAGAAAGGATGGGCAGTTGTTCAAAAATTATATGCTTTGGAATGGAAAGAAATGCCACAAAAGCTATGGAATGCATACACACACTTCATATTGAGGCCAAAGCTGTTCCACTTCACATGGGATCTCATGGACTGGAAAGGCACCACACAAAGAACAAGGTCCATGCTGTGCAGGATTTGGGCACACACTCACCCACGGACTATTCTACAGATTGAGGTGTCCCCTACCATCCCCTGGCACTTGGGCTGGAAAGCAGATGACTAAAGCAATAAAGCAGAGGTATTATTCTAGCTAACTCCTTCCCTTCCTATTGTCCTTTCAGTTAATGTGCATGTTTGGCATATTTCTGATTTGCTTTGGAATGAGTCTATCAGGCCAGAGATGGTTCTGAGGAAAGCCAGGAAAGCAACTCCAAGGCCAGGTTAAACAGTAATGTTAGAAATTTTGACATCAAGCAGTTTTAAGCACCATCAGAGTTTGACCACTGTCCATAGCAGAGGAGATTCTGAGTATGCCTATTTTCTACCCAAGCACCTACATCTCACTATAAAACATCATACTAGATACTCGAGATTTGCGTGTCTGTGTGTAACTCCCCAGGGTAGAAGCCAGCTGGAATCCTGGCCTCATGAAACCAAAGGAAGATTTGTCTGTGGCTGAAGTCTAGGTCAGGATTTTATGTGTGTTTATATTGTGCTTTGTGCAATAACAACTCAGGGAGATACTTCAGATGCCAAATAAATTTTAAGGTTTCTGTGGAATTTGAAATACTTTATAAGTGATTCTCCCTAACAAATTAATGCAGCCACCATTCTCACAAGTTCTAATTGTCTCATCAATTTCTTTTCATGCCACTTGCAGTTATACATCATGCTTCAAAGTCAGCATGTATACAACCAGCCTCCACAAGACAAATATTATAGGGTATTTTTCAGGTAAATGATTACTGCTCAGAGACAGTGAAGTTTCTGGCTAGAGTGATGTGGAAAAGACTGCAGAAAAGCAGGGAATGTTTTTCTTTACTCAAAAACTGAAGTATTTAATTCTCAGAGAATTAATTTTTTTATCACTGGGAAAACATGCGGGTCAAGATAAAAGCAAAAGCAGTTTACTAAAGCAAAGCAACAGGCTGCACGTGGAAGCAAAGGAAAACAAAAGATTTATTCTCAGCAGGTACTGTCCAGCCACTTCCTGGGATGTAGGTCTTCATTAGTGGTTGCTCCAGAAAACGAACAGCCTTGTAACAAGTGGCATCTCCTCCTTCTCTTAACTTTTAGTGCTGAGCAGACACCACATGGTGTGGAATATCACTTTGGCCATGGGGCCAGCTGCCCTGGCTGTGTGCTCTCCCCAGGACCCTCCTCATCCCCAGCCCACTGGAGAGGGCAGAATGATGGAGAGACAGCCCTGAGGCTGTGGGAACACTGCTCAGCACCAGCCAAACCTCAGGTGAATTACCCACACCCCCTGGCTGCAGGGGAAATGAGCTCCAGCTCAGCCAGACCTGGCTCAGCCAGGCCAGGCTGAAATCTCCTACCCACCTGGGGCAATCCTCAGTCACTTATCTGCTGAAGAAGTGGGAAACTAAAATCGCTCAGAGCAGCACCTTTCAGCAGATTTGGTTCAAAACTTTTGTGAAGGGAAGGGGGATCTTGACTGACAGGCAGACATGCACACACCCTGTGCACGTGCAGAATTACCTCTTAGAAATTAAACCTCTTAGACCTACAGAATTCCTCTTAGAAACCAGGTGAAAAACAAAAGCCACTGATTACCCAATTCTTTCTTCAGTGGACAACTATTCATAAGCATCTCATGGAAAGAACTTAAGAAGGATCTTTTGGGAACACATGGAGTCTTAAAAAATGCCATTTCTTTTCTACTCATCTCATTTTTTTCTGAAGCAAAACCAGAACAGTGTGACCTCTGTGCATAATGACAGTTCAATGACACAGCTCTCATTCTGAGTGTCGAATATGAAATGCTCACCATGAACTGCTCAAAAATAATCCTCAGGCCATGATTATTCATAGAAATTATTTGGTGAGTAATTTCAATTAAATAAATTCAAGGAATCAAGAAAAATAGGCTAAACTAATAGAATGCATTATTTATGATGAATAATTCATTTGGAGGAACTTTTTCCCACTATTGCAGAAAGCCAGCTCAAGGCATAGGGCACTGAAGTCTCACTTAAGCCCTGTTTTGAGGTCTTAATTGGGGGCTTTCATGATGAATCACTGTAGGCTGGCCCTCTGCCCAGGACTGAATTTCACCCATTGCTCCTGCTCCTCACATATTTCTAGATATGCCATTAGCACAGTGAAATTTGTATTCTTTCAACTTCACTGCCATAAAAATGATGATATGGAGAGATTTCGTCGTGTTCCTTTTACTACTAAAAACTAAAAGGAAAAAACTCACATCAGCTCACCAGACTTTCAACAGTGAACTTTCATCATACCCATACATCAACTGCATTATGCAAATATGAGCCCCCTGTCCACTGAAGTCAGGCAAGAAGACACAATAATTTAAACAAGACTCTCCAAATCACTAAAACCACTTGTGTGCACTTGTGCTTGCATGATGGGACATTTCCAGTTAAAAACATTCACCGTATGTAACACATAGATTATGATTCTCAGGACAGCTGAAAAAAAATATACCTATAAATGGTAGTGGTAGAAATTACTGTAGACACACATTTGAAACACAATAAATAGTAGATCCATTATTGTTTAAGGATGGGAAAATAAAACCTCACACTTCTCTTGTTTTGGTTTGTTTTTTTTTTTTTGTTCTTGTTGCTCAGCAATGCCAGTACAGAATATCTATCATCAGGAAGATTCATCTCATTGTTCCTATCAGAGAAAAAGACCCATTGACATGATGAAACAAAGCACTTCCAAAAATATTTAAACCACTCAATAAAACCTAAGCGCCAGCTTTGAAGCTAAGCATTTGTTCAAAGATCTGATCCAAATCCCACTGAAATCAGTCGGAGTCCTTCCACTGACACCAAAGGGCTTTGGATCAGACATGCTACTTTCCTGAATAGGATGAAGACATCCATAAATATTAATTGTCTCACAGTGCTTTGCTGGGTCCTGTGATAAAAGGTGTGAGTGTACTAAGGGAGTGGATATTTTTTCTGCTAGGCAAGAAAGAAAAAAAACTGGGCTAAATCTAAACTAATGATCAATTCTTAATTGAACAGTGATGAGTCTGTCAGTCTCCCCAAAGCACAGGCTACCAGGGCTGCCTTCTGAAAGACAGCTTCTCTCACATTTCCTGCTGAAACCAATATTACTGCCATTAAAACACATTAAACTCTCTTCTTAAGACAGTCAGGATTAATGATACAAAAAATCAGAAACTGGTAGTTCTGCTGCTGCAGTTTGTACCACCAGGGTAGAATCACACTGTGCTGTTATAAAACAGATTACCCCAGATATATTGAAACAAATCATGATGTAGTCTCCTTACAAAAAAAAAAAAAAATCATATTGCTGTTAGATAACGGGTCTCAAAAATGCATAACCTTGGTCAGGAAGCAAAAATTGAGGGAAGAGTTAGAAAGCACACTGATTTTAAGTCACAGTTCATTAAATTCCTTCATTTATACAATAGGTAGTCATGAAGTGTCAGTGAACATTATTCTGAAGTAGGCCAGCTCTCCATATGTTTGCATGGTTGGGAGAAACGGAGCTAAAAAGCACATCTGGAAACCAGAGAAATTGCTTACAGTTGATGGCACAGGCAATCACTGATTGCCAGCAAAAGGCCACTCAGTAGACACCACCCAATCTGGAGTGCCCCTCTGCCCTCAAACTGCCTCATCCAGCAGCTCTCCTTCCACCGAGGCTTCATCCCAAAGGTCTCCCTCCTCTGCCTCTCTCGGCAGGGGTGGCTCCAGCTGTTGCTGGGCAGCCCAGGATGGACACAGGGCCACAGAGGGCACAGGCTGCCCTCCCTGCCTCTCCTGCTCACCCTCCTTCACCATCCCCTGCTCATTCCTTGCCCAGTGAAAGTGGAAGACAGAGATTCTTTCATTCTGTCCTTTACAGCACTTCCCAGTGCTGCTGGATGACATAAAACCCTGGATTACAAGTAACAATTATTTTGCATACTGTTCACTGCTAAATCTGGAAACTGTTTATTTCCTTAAGAATTCCTTTTAAGTGAGGCTCAAAATTTCACTTTACAGTATAGGAAAGACTCCAAAAAAGACTTCCATAGTTATGGAAGTAGAATATCTCCAACTACAAAGAGACACACATATGCACAGAGAAAGCAAGAACACAAGGTACTTGTTGGAGAGCAGTGATGATTATCCCAGAACCCTAAAAGCTTACATGGAGTAGGCATCTCATATGCAGTTCAGGATTATAGGATGAGGAACATATGAGATCAGAAAATACCTACATTTACAAATTCCTATTGTTTTAGGGATCAGCCATCATGTTGTGTTCACAGAAAGCAATATTGGCTTCTACTTATACTGTATGCATAAACACTTCTTTACTTACCAGCAACATCCAGGCTACCTTAATAGATTCTAATGATCAGTAAAACTTATATCCTGCCCTCCATCCAGTTCACAGAGGTTTTGCTTTGTTTCTTGCTGCCTTCATTTCTTTATTCCATAAGACTTGGTGCATATATTAGTTCCTTCGCTTATATACAGAGAAGCAAACCCAGAAAAAACTGATAGGTAAAGATGTGTAAGTAGTGTTTAGCATCCACCTGCAGATATAATGTGAAGAAAGAAAATTATCTCCACATTTTTCCAGACTTTTTCTTCTCCTTGGTATTTACTCTCCCAGAAGGACAACAGCATGATGTGCACTAGGCAGGAAGGGTAATGATCTGTGCCAAATTTTATGTGCTTATGCTTCATGCTGTGGTCTGGCTTTTTGTTCCCCTGCCAGCAGACAGATAAAGTGGTGGCTTCAGGACCACACAGACAAGAGCTGCACTGGTATGTGGAAGAGCACAGGACTAACAGACTGTTTGAAGCGGGTTAAGGCTGCTACCAGGCAAGTATTCAGTTCATACTTGCTCTGCAGCTGTCTGGGAGTGTCCCCATGGGAAACAGGTAGGGGATAATTAAGGGCTCTTAAGCCAGCAGACAAGGATATTACAAGGATAAACATTTCAAAGTAAAGACAGTTAGATGCAGAGTTGTAGAGAAAACCCAGTTTTTTACCTGTGGGGGATGAAACCCATCGGAACAATTTACCGAACACAATGGCAGATTTTCACCATAGGCAATTCCTAAAATATGCTTGGCTATGTTATTGGGTTTCATTTTTTTTTTATTTTTCCTATGAAGTATGATCTAATTTGAACAGGAATTAATTCAAATTTAGCTGATGGCTTGGGTTATGCAAGATTCAAAAGCCACAATGGCTCTATTAAGTCTCATAATCTATGAATCTGTATTGAGACTTCATGACTTTGCACAAAAAGGAGCATTGAGGGAATACAGCTAAATATTTGGGACCTCCACAATGCTTACAAATCAGGCATAACCTTGAGTTTCCCCAAGCCCTCATGGGCTGCTGTACCAACCTGCCTCCTGGCCTTTCATCCCTGGAGGCTCCCAGATAGTCATAGACTGGAAATGTTCCTCCATTCAACACATAAAATAAAAAGGCCTTAAAACAGGTGGAGGAAAAAAGCTGTTCTTTTGAACTCTGTTTTTAATTGAAGGGATTATAAAACACCTCAGGCATGCTGAGAAATCAGGACTTTTGTTCCTAAATAAAAAGCTGAAACTACTATTTTTTTTTTAAATCCTTGTTCCTCCTCCTACAACCGTGGTTATTATATGCATGCATTTGCAGTGTAATAGAATCGGTATCATCTCTGTGTCTTATTACTGTTGCAATCCCCTAACACGCTGTTCCTTGCATCCCACATGAATCTGGTAATTACTGCTGAGGCATGCCGTGTGTACGCTCTCCCTTCCAAGGCAGCAGCAGCAGTGCCACAAACACATTTCCCACAGATTGGTAAACACAAGCAAGTGGGACAGTGCATGTTGCCTCATAAACCAATTCCAGGACATGGTCCTTGCTCACCAGAAAGCTGTGCCTGACTGAAACTCATGGACATGAAACAAATGTACACTCTGAGGCAAGGGGAAAATGCACTGCACTTACTTGTGCTTTCATTTTTTGCTGTGTGTTGGAGCAAGCCCTGTGAGGGCTGGCAGTGCTGTGCTGGGTTGCTCAGGTGAGATGTGATGAAGGGAGGTTACAGGAACTTCTATGTGCCTCTGTGTGGTGCCAGGTGTGTGTGAATATGCTCCCTTCTGAAAATAATAAAACAAAAAAAAATCAACCTGGGTCTCCTTTTTACCTTCTCTTTTTAGGCTCTTGCCCCCAGACTATGTTAGAAAGAGCTGAAAACAGGATTTCCTACAGCCTGTAACTAGTCCAATTTTGCTCCCCAAATGCCATATCCTCATGTTTAGAGCAGAAAACAAGCAAAAAATCTCACAAAATAATAATCTGGCTGCTGGTGTATTAGTATTGTAAAACAGCAGATCTGCCACACAGCTCTTTCCTGATCTTGGCAATTTTTGCTCCTGAATTCAGCTGGATAAAGTGAGTCAGAACGGAGCAGCTCTGAGCTCATTTCAGAATCTCAGTCCTGTTGAAATTCACACAGCACCACACCAAGAGCGTGCTCCAGTGTGGGATGCTCCTGCTCTTGTCACAACCTCTCCAAATTTCAGAGAGAGAATCTGCAACTGCTTCAATCCCAAATGCAAACTCCAGCACTATTCCTGTCCAGGAGACTGCAAAGGCATCTGTGCTGGCTGCTGCAGGATGTTACCTTTTCCAGCATCAAGAAGAGAGATAAAAATAGACAGTACATTTCTGCTGCTCCTAAAATGTGGGCTCTGATACATAATGGCTAAAGAATACCACAAGATGACAGTACCACTTTTGCCAATTTCAGAACTCTTTTGCAGCAAACCTTTACATTCTAGAGACTAAGTAAAGTGCATATAATACCCTATGAGAATCTGGTAATAATGCACCGTGCCCTGCTAGCACTTCAGAAATTCCCTGTACAGTGCCTTTTAGTCCCCTGCCCCCAGTGTGAACACAAAGTTTTACCTTTAGATAGAGACCAAGAGCAGCCATCCTTTCCCATCACACAGATCTGTGCCCAGGGCATGGAGCTTAAGCAAAGTCACAATAACCCAGATCCAATATCTTGCTCTTTTTAAAGGCAGCCAAATGCTACACCACAAATATTTCAACGGGGCAGTAGGACTAATCCAGCCAGTGGGAATGATGCTGTTAACTGTGGTTAAGTCTGGCTGCTCAGTACTCGGGGGAGCGTTCCAGAGGGCGCAGGGGTTCAGGCTTGGGACTGCCGCTGCCTGGTTTGGTGGAAGGTGTTGAACTTCCCTGAACGTGTAGAACACCAACGTGCTGGGCAGAGCTCGGCACGGCAGTTTGGGAAAGGGGGCTGCTCCAGCCGGGGCGGGGGATGGATGCTGATGCCAGATCAGGATTCGCAGCACCGCTGCTCCCAGAGCCGGAGTGTGCATGTGTGTGCTGTGTGTGATGTGTGTGATGTGTGTGATGTGTGTGATGTGTGCGTCTGTGCGGCGTGTGCGGAGGATGTGTGCGGGCTGCGCGTGTCTCTGTGCCGTGTGCGTGTGTGCGCGGTGCGTGCGCGCCTGCCGGCTGCCTTTTGCCGAAGGAGCTGCTTGACTTGCTCTCTATTTTGAGGGCGCGGATTCAGGGACTCGGGGCCAAAAAAATTCTCCAGACCCAGGTAAATCCGCTTGTTACCTTATTCCCCTTCCCGGCTCCGAGTGCCCGCGCTGTCCTGCAGGTGCTGTCAGAGCGCTCCCGCGAAGAGCAGCCGAGCCGGGAGCGGAGCCGGCTGCGAGAGCCGCGCAGGGAAGGGGGGCCGGGGACGGGGACAGGGGGCTGGGACAAGCGTGTCCCCCCCGCCCCCGCTGACGTCAGCGCGGCTCCGCGCGGGGCACCCGGCAAAAGCGCCGCGCCCGCCGCGCCCCGCGCACTGCCCGCGCAGCCCCGCAGCGCCGCCGCGCTCGGCCCCCGCCCGGCCCAACTTCCCGCACAGCCCGGGACGGGCCCGGCCGGGACGGGCCGGCACGGCGGCGCCCCGCCGGGCTCCTGCTGAGGCGTGAGCGGGCGATGCCGCTCGCCGCCGGGCGCCTGGCTCCCGGGGCGCGGCGGCTCTCGGCGGCGGCCACTGCCCGCGCTGCCCCCTCGGGCGCCCCGAGAGCAGGTAGGAGCGCGGGGAGCGCGGGCTGGGCTGGGGGCGCCGCTGCAGCGGGGGGGGTTCGCTGTCAGTCCGTGCGCGCCCCGGTTTGAGATGCCGGCAGGCGCCGGCAGCCGCGCAGCCCGGACGGGCAGCGGGGACGGGATCGCGCTGCCGGCGGCCGCCGGGGCGGAGGCGGCGGCCGCGACGGACGGGGGATCGGGCGGAGAGCCCAGCGCTAGGGACCCCAGCGCCGGGCAGCTCCCAGACGGGGCTTCCCCATAGCAGCTCCGCAGGCGCTTTCCGAGAGGAAGGAAGGGAGGAGGAGGGGGGGATTCCAGAGGAGTTTGGAAGCCGCTGCCTTGCAGCTCCCCTTCCCCCCCAGCCTTCCGACCTGCTTTCGCTCTCCCCGTGCAAGCCTCTGTTGCCGGCCGTGTTCACTGGGGATTTTTTTCTTTCTCTCCTTACCTGTCTCAAAAGGTTTGACTGTAGGTACCAAAGCGGGGATCGACGGCGCATAAAGATGCTGAAGGGTGTTTGGTTGCTCAGTTTGTTAACAGTGGCTGGGATCTCGTGGACAGAGAGTCGCAAACCTGCCAAAGACATTTGCAGCAAGAGCCGCTGCCCTTGCGAGGAGAAGGAGAACGTGCTGAACATTAACTGTGAAAACAAGGGATTTACAACCGTCAGCCTCCTCCTGCCGCCCCCGTCCAAGATCTACCAGCTGTTTCTCAATGGGAACGCACTGACCCGCCTGTTCCCCAATGAGTTCGTCAACTATTCCAACGCCGTGACCCTGCACCTGGGCAACAACGACATGCAGGAGATCCGCACAGGGGCCTTCAGCGGCCTCCGCACCCTCAAGAGGCTGCACCTCAACAACAACAAGCTGGAAGTGCTGAAGGAAGACACTTTCCTGGGCTTGGAGAGTCTGGAGTACCTGCAGGCTGATTACAATTACATCAGTGCCATTGAAGCGGGGGCATTCAGCAAACTGAACAAGCTCAAGGTGCTGATCCTCAATGACAACCTCCTGCTGTCCCTGCCCAGCAATGTCTTCCGCTTTGTGCTCCTCACTCACCTGGACCTGCGGGGGAACCGGCTGAAGATGATGCCTTTTGCTGGTGTGCTGGAGCACATTGGAGGCATCATGGAAATCCAACTTGAGGAAAACCCTTGGAATTGCACCTGCGACTTGCTGCCACTCAAGGCCTGGCTAGACACCATCACCGTGTTTGTGGGTGAGATAGTTTGTGAAACCCCCTTCAGGCTTCATGGGAAAGATGTGACCCAGCTAACCAGGCAAGATCTCTGCCCTAGGAAAAGCTCCACTGATTCAAACCAGAGGGAAAAACACCCTGTCCTCTCAGACCCACAAATCTCAAGGCTATCGCCCACAGCCAACTCTGCCATCAATCCCACCAGGGCCCCAAAATCCAGCCGGCCACCCAAAACTAGGAACCGCCCCACCCCCCGTGTCTCTGTGTCAAAAGACAGACAAATATTTGGACCTATCATGGTTTACCAGACAAAATCTCCTGTGCCCATCACCTGCCCAGCTGGCTGCATCTGTACGTCCCAGAGCTCAGACAATGGCCTAAATGTTAATTGCCAAGAGAAAAAGATAAGTAACATCTCTGATCTCCACCCCAGGCCAACCAGTCCAAAGAAACTTTACCTTACCAGTAACTATCTGCAAGTCATCTATAGAACGGATCTCACAGAGTACAGCTCTCTGGATTTGCTACACCTAGGAAATAACAGGATTGCAGTGATACAAGAAGGTGCCTTTACAAACCTCACGAGTTTACGCAGACTTTACCTTAATGGCAATTACCTTGAGGTTCTGTACCGATCCATGTTTGAAGGGCTGCACAGCCTGCAGTACCTCTACCTAGAGTACAATGTCATTAAGGAGATCCTGCCACATACATTTGATGCTCTGAGTAATCTTCATCTGTTGTTTCTCAATAACAACCTGCTCAGATCCTTGCCTGATAATGTCTTTGGAGGCACTTCCCTCACCAGGCTCAACCTTAGGAACAACCATTTCTCACACCTGCCTGTGAGAGGTGTCTTGGACCAGCTCTCAGCTCTGATTCAGATAGACCTCCAAGAGAACCCTTGGGACTGCACGTGTGACATCCTGGGGCTGAGGAACTGGATAGAGAAAGTCACTGACCAGAACAACCAGCAGTCAAATCCCCCTGTAGTTATCAATGAAGTAATATGCGAGTCTCCCACCAAGCACTCTGGAGAGCATCTGAAATTCCTGAGCAAAGAAGCCATCTGCCCAGAGAACCCCAACTTGTCAGATTCTTCTGTCCTCTCCATGAACCAGAACACCGATACGCCCCATCTCGGTGTCTCACCCAGCTCCTACCCAGAATTACACACTGAAGTTCCGCTGTCTGTCCTGATTTTAGGCCTGCTGGTTGTGTTTATTTTGTCTGTTTGTTTTGGGGCAGGTCTGTTTGTCTTTGTCCTTAAGCGCCGGAAGGGGGTGCAGAGCATGCCCAGCAGTGCCAACAACGTAGATATAAGTTCATTTCAGCTCCAGTATGGGTCTTACAATGCTGAGACCCACGATAAAACTGAAGGACATGTTTATAACTACATTCCCCCTCCTGTTGGACAGATGTGCCAAAACCCAATCTACATGCAAAAGGAAGGGGATCCAGTTGCTTATTACAGGAATCTCCATGAGTTTAGCTACAGCAGTCTTGATCACAAAAAAGAAGACCCCAACAGTCTTGCATTTACCATCAGTGCAGCTGAATTGCTGGAAAAGCAGTCCTCACCAAGGGAACCAGAGCTCCTGTATCAAAATATTGCAGAAAGGGTCAAGGAACTCCCCACCGGAGGATTAGTTCATTATAACTTTTGTACCTTACCCAAAAGGCAGTTTGCCCCTTCATATGAATCCAGACGCCAAAACCAGGACAGGATAAATAAAACTGTTTTATATGGAACTCCCAGGAAATATTTTGCAGAACAGTCTAAACCTGAGCATCCTTTACTCCAAGGAAAGCTACAAACAGAACCAGACTACCTCGAAGTTCTGGAAAAACAAACTGCAATCAGTCAGCTGTGAGGGGGGAGGTGGGAGACAAAGGAAATGTTTTTAATGAGCTCAGCACCACATTTCTTTGAGTCTGAACTCACTACTGATGTCATCTGTCGCATTCCCAACATTTCCACTTTTTTAAATCAGAGAAGGAGTGAGAGAGAAAAGGAACCCTTACAGCATAGCAGGGATGTGGTGTTTCTTTTACAACGTTCCCTTTAAATTATTTCTATATCTCTCTCCTTTTGACCCTTCTCTAGGAACTGTCATTGAAAATGTATCTTTCTGTAATAGATCTTGCATAATTCTTTTTTGATTTTGAAGGAAATGAGGAAGGGGGTCTTTAGGTTTTTTTGTTTGTGTTTTTTTTTTTTTTCTTTTCATTTCAAAATGGCAACTTAATGTATTATGTAGAAGATCTCCAAAGATCTTTTTTTCCTGGACTGTGAGGACTGTGACTTTCTTTTGTAAATAATAATATACGGTACTGCTGTTTCAATTACCAACTATAGCCACTGGGCGTCACTTTTTTGTGTTAAAGTGCCTTTGCACTTTAAGTACATTATTACTTAATTGTTGCTCTTAGCTTTGATAAATTGAACCTATTTTAATGTGTTGTATTTTTGAAATTAAAAAAAATTGTAAAATAGATCTATATGTCAGCTGCATTAAATCAGAAGGTCTGGTTTATAGGAAAGCTGCTCTTCTTTAAATGACTCTAGTTCTAGGATCTTACAGACTCAAATGTAAATTATTGGGGTGTTTTTTCCCTCTAGGTTTGTTTAGAGTGACTCACAGAAATCAACTGAGAGGATTTAGCAATGGACTAGAGGTTATCAAATGCCTCAGCCAGGAATAACAGCTCATTAATAAAAGATGTTTAACACAACGTCATAGTGAACTGAACAATTAATGTCCTTCTTAATACATTGCATTGCAGCTCTAACACAGTAATGTTCAATGGCTTAAGATTATTTTCATACTTAACAGAACATTACTCATAATATTTTATGCATTGGATTAGGTATTTTTATACATTTTGGGACAGAATTTATATTTGTAACTTTTTGGACTGAAATTACCATGTCCTCTT